TGGGAAATACAAAGTCACAATTACAAGAAACAGTCACACTTATATTAAAAAGTTACATTGCGAGATTAAAAAAAAGGTTGAATTGCACAGAAGTCACTGTTGGGAGATATACAGTAAAATCGCAAGAAATAAAGATACTGCAAGATTATGAAAAAGTAACTGAGATATAAAGTCACACTGCAGAAGTCACAGTGTGAGGTAAGGCAGTCACACTGAGATGTAAAGTCACAATGGGGAGATATAAAGTCTTAAGTTTCGAGAAATACAGTCACAATTTTTAGACATAAAATCACAATTACAAGAGTTATAAAATGACTCACTATAATAAAGTTATATTGTAACATTGTGGAATAAAAATGTATATAAAGTCACATTGTGAGATAAAAATGTCACTGCAAGAAATAAAGTCACTAACTAAAAGTATGAAGTCTCAGTTTTGAGAAATAAAGTTACAATTTTGAGATGTAAAGTCTCAATAGGGAGATATAAAGTCACATTGTGGGATTAAAACAGTATAGTCACATTGTGATAAAGGTCACACTGCAAAATATAAGGTCACAACTAGAAGTGTAAAGACTCCGATCTGAGAAATAAAGTCACCGTTTTGAAATATAAATAGAGAGATAAAGTCACAATTGCAATATAGAAAGTCTCAATTGTGAGTTTATGAGCAGACTGTGGGTGGTCTCTGAGGTTGAGAGTGTTTCGTTCATGAGCCGTGTGCCCTTGAGCGAGGCTGTTAACCTCGGGTTGATCTGGGGGAATTTCCCCTGTTCATCAGAAGTTCGCCTCATTCATGAAACACGAGCAGAACGGATTTTTGTGTAAATCGTTCGTAAAGTCGTTCTGTGACGTAAATTTCGAATTCATGAAAATGTTCGTATTTTCAAAATGTTAGTTGGTAGGAAAGAAATGTACACCTGCTCCCTACCACGGGAGCACTTCCATTATAATAAGTTCGTTTGCGCCTTTTGAAAAACAGAGTTGATAAACTGTTTAGCTTTGGGTAAAACGCAGCGCTTTTTACTCAGCCGTCCAATCAATGGAGGAGGGGCGGGACAATCGACCAATCATCCTACTTGTACAACAACTGAACAACAATAGAGAAGTTAATATTGCTGGTTACTGCATTTTTATATTCAGTAATGTTCTTCAAAATGAGATACTAGTAATACGTTACTGCCGTGGATATTTCAAATCATAGCAACCAAAGTAGAGGTTTGCACAGGACTATTTCTTTAGTCCCGCTCCCACAAGGTTATATTCCGCACCCATCCTCTCCCGCTATATATTCACTCTTTGTTCACCCGCTGTCCGCTTAGAATAATTTTCTTCCCGACCCGACCGTTCCCGCTAAATTTAGATCTCGTTTCCAGAATCTCACATTTAAATTTCCGCTACTGAAAGAAAGAGAGATAGGCTGACTAATAAAAGTGTGGTCTGCACAAAATTGTATGTTCTTTTATTGGTCTTGTCAAGAGTCTTGAATTTATTGACTTTGACTTGAATTTATATGAATTATCTTAAGACACGAAATTCGTTTAATATTTTATGCAACACAGTAGTACAAAAAGTGTCAGAGAAAACAAAAAATTTATTTCTTATTTTTATTCGTCTTGTCAGGATACAATTCGTTTAACATTTACTACACAATAGGGAAAAAGTGTCGCAGAGAGAAAAAATAAAAATGTAGGTTGTACAAAAATAGCCTTTTAGCTATTTTTATTCGTCTTGTCAAAATACTAAATTCGTTTGACATTTTCTGTTAACACAGTAGGAAAAGTGTCGCAGAGAAAAATGTATAAATACGACATCTGTCATTTAAAATTATAGGCTAAGCAAAATATAAACAAAACCGAGTTGAACGTCCTTCAAGGACAGCGCATCCACACTTTGCTCCATCCTTATTCTGCTCCGTCACTCATCGACAACCTGCCTCTTCTGTCTGAGGGCCGAATGCAGACCTCTAACCAAAGCGTCTCTCAGCTAGAAAAACGCTGTGCCACCAACTGGCCGTTTTAAGAAGAGCGCCTGACAGTTTTTCAGCTGGCTAAAAATGCTTTGGTGGACACACGTTATTGAATATTTATTGTTAGGCATATGGCCTATTAGTGTTTTTTGCATTTATGCAATATACTGGAGCCAAACCTGAGAAAGTAGACCAGAATACTCCACTGCGTTCCTGGACACGCAATTTACGTAGCTGTAATTCATAGGCGGGGATTATGCTAATTGTGAATGAGCGTGCACGAGCGCCCTATTTACGAATGATTGGAATTCATTAACATACACATGTTTAACTATCAAATCTGATGTGTACGACGTGTTTGTGAATCCGGAGGAGAGTTTTCGGGAAGGTCCGTTTTACGCGCAAATTGCTCAGAATTTACTCCTATATTTACGAATGTTTCATGAATGAGGCCCATTGTGTGAACACCATGGAAGCCCTGGTTGTGTGTGGATAAATAAAGATTCTGATTCAAGTGTTAACTGATTAGTCATGAAGACGACTAAAGTGATCAACTGCAGAATTGGAATCTGTTGAATATAACTTAACTTAAAGGAGCGATAGACTACCTTTTATCATCACTAAAGAATGAAAGAGTTATAAGTTCAACATCCCACATCAGTCCTCCTGTATTTCACTCTGCCTCTCTCCATTTTCCACACTGAACAGGCAACATGGATCGCCACCATTACGAGACTTTTGAGAAGTTTGGAAATGAGACTTTCATTATTCATTTGGACAACGGCAGAGGGTAAGCCATTTTTATTATCGTATAACGTCCCCTCCGTCCTTCACACCTCACTCCTCAAAGCTCCACATGACTCCACAGCCACTTCCTTTTCAACCATGGAAACAGAGTGTCATCTTATAAAACGGGAATATGTAGATGTTGAGTGGAAGGTCAGATTGATATGGCGTGGTGTCTCCGGGTGTAATATGTGTGCTGTTGAAGGGCTCACAGTGGGTAGAAGTCACACAGGTGCTCACACAGATAAAGCATTTTGATTAAACTGACATTCTGTTCGGCTGAAGTGGCTGCTTTTTCATTCTCAGTTCTTCAAGTGGGCCACTGTGAAACGCCATAGGTCTCTCAATGCCAGATTAATCTAAGGCCCGACTAAAATTTACATGTATTTTCTTCTATTTGTGTTAAATTTATACTGAACTGAATTTCTGATGGGGTTTTACTGCTGCAAATATGTTGCAAGGTGTCAACTAAATTCTAAAGTGTCACCAAAATAATATAACTTATAAATAAAAATATAACAGTAAATGACAAGATATGGCCTTCAAAAACATGCCCCACTGAACCACGGCAGTAATGTGCTGTGCAATTTGACATACCAATATGAAAGTAATAGCGCAAGATGAATGTATAACAACAAAAAGTGACTTAAGTTTCCATGTTATGAGCTGGGTTTTATTTCGTCTTTAATAAAGACCTGAATGTACAATTTGGTGAGTTCTTCATGTTCTAACTTTTATGTCTGGTAAAGTTTAAATAAGTTTATAGAGACTGCATATCACACTACAAGTATGCTGGAAATGGTTGTTGAGAGTGTTAGTATCTTTAACCCTAGTAAAAACAAAGTACACTTTCGCATTCTTTAATATGGTAATTATATACTTTAAAATAATATACTGAAGTGTGAATTTAATGCAATATTGGACACTTATTTGCATGTTAATTGCAATTAATTGAAAATGTATTATATTTTAAATGTATATTAGCTTAACATTTTAAGCCATCTAAGTATCTTTATATGTAATTTCATAATTACTTCTTTTGTCTTTGAAATATTGTTAAAGTGTACGTCTCGGGTTACTTTACTGTAACCCTGTTCCCTGAAAAAGTGGGAATGAGATGCTGCGTTTCATTAATGCTTATGAGAACATTCTTTTTCCGACCGGTTGTGAAGCATGTGTGTCAAACACGCCAAGAATTGGCTTAAATAACTAAAATAAGTGTGTGCGCACAAACATTGAAGAGGTCTCAGAAATGACTTTGGGAAGTGGCTCAAAGACATGTGGGCCCGGAGTAGCATGGACATCCAAACTATTGAATCTGATGAACGTGTGCGGGGAGGACTTGCCTGCCACATCACACACTTGCTGCAAGGGGACAACTCTTGCAAGTGCCTTAGGAGATGCAACTCCCCCTGGTTGAATGAACTCCTAGAGGCAAAGCTTGACCGCGTGCCTCATAATGCTAGGGAAATGTGACAACCGCCCCCTGGTTGCGGCCCCCATAGCATTTGAAAAGCTGCCCCGACTTACTCCACTGGCTGGTTCGGTGAACTTAAATCTGAAGAGCATGGACTGGCAAGTCTAAGGAGGATGGTGAGACTAACAAAGCTTGCAAATCCCCAATTCTTTTTAGAGTACTAATATCCATGAGAAAAAGAAAATCTTCAGAGTCAGAAGCCTGACAGGCGCTGACTCTAGTGGTTCAAAAGAGGTCCCAACCAGACCCTCATGCATTACAGCTAAGTCCCACGATGAGACTGTCACTCTGGTGGGCGGCTTCAACCACTTAGCTCCTCGAATGAGGCATGCGACTATGAAGGGTGATCTCCCACAGAGACCCCATCAATCAGAGCGTGGCAAGCTGAACTGGTGGCCTCATAGACTCTGAGAGTACCAGTACCAATGTGCCTGGGGACATTTATTTTCTCCTGCAGGAACTCCAGCACTGAAACAACTTGACAGGGAACTGGGTCTGTATGGTGTGTCATACCTGTGGCTCAGCGAAGTTCTAAAAATGCTTCCTCCTCAATATCCCCGCTCACTCTCAGATCCTTTAACAGGTCAGCCTGGTATGCCTGCAGAACCGCCATGGTGTGCAGGGCAGCACCAGCCTTACCCTCTGCCTGAAACGCATCCCCATAGATGTTGCTCTACATGGCTTGGTAGGGAGCATTGGCTTTTTGAGTGATGACGCAACTGCAGGGGGGAGATAGCCTGCTTGCGTCTCTTCCTCCTGGGGCATCATCATGTAGCCCCGTGCCTTTGCATCCACGATAGTCAAATAAATCGTCGTTGAGGGCACAAAGACATGGGACGAATATTGCTTACTCCATGAACTAGTTATCTCATCATGGAGAACATCAAATAAGGGGAGATACCATCGCTGAGGTCCCTCCCCCTGAGCCCCTGACAGAAACCTGTCATCTAGTTTGGACCGTTTGGGGGTCTCTTGCTCCTGTAGCTAATCCAGCTTTAATCTGGCCACTGAACGAGTAACTCCCCAATATTTTATCACTGTGGGAGGAGCGCTCGGAGACATGAAAGTGTCTCTCTTTAAGGGTGTACTCACACTAGGCACGGTTGCCTTGAACCGAGCCCGAGCACGATTATATATAATAGTAGTAATAGTATATGTTTGCGGTTGTAATGATGGCAGTAGCGCACACAAAATAGTATCTGTTCCGTGCTCCGGCACGGTTAGCGCTCACACTGCATGCATACCGAGCCCAACCGAACCGTGCCCTGGCCCACCTCTTCCAGCCGGGCCAGGGACAGCGAAACGAACCGGTTCAAAACGCATAGTGTGAGTACACCCTAAGTGTACTTAAGTGGCCTTTTATTTCATTAATATTACATTATCTGCAAGTAGTTTTAAAAAAATGCTTTTAAGATTTGAAATACGCTAAAAGTGCATATTCAATACAATTAAGCACACTTTTTCACAAGAGAACCATTTAAAAATATCAGACATTTGACTTCTGTTTCTCTCTAACCCCTCAGATTTGGAAAGCATTCACATGATGAAATGTCCATCCTGGTCCCTTTGTCTCAGTGCTGCAGGTAAGATTGTTTTTCTCCACTTTCAGACATCTCTTGAATTGAGGCAATAGCCTCCCAACTGAGAGAGTGACTGCAGTGCAGTAATTCAGTATAGCACCAACACAACCACATCCTTCTGTCTGCTGTGCTCTGTTATTCTAGCTGTATCCTTTATTGCACATTTACATTTATTTCCTGTGGCTGATGTTATTCTTGCTAGAACAATCTACGTATATGAATGGTTGCAAAAAACACTGACTGTGTCCCAATTTGCATAATTCTGCAAGCTGGTCATAGTATACACCACTTTGTTGCTAACATTTTGAATGTGGCTAATTTTGCTATTCTAAGGGGCCATTCACACAAAACACGTTTTGCATTCCACTGCACTACTTTTTCATTGTTTTTCTATGTAAACATTCGCTAGACATTTGCCCGTTGCACTCGCGCCTTGTGTCTTTCGCAGAATCTCGCGAACAACACACTGCTCTAATAATGCTCATTTGGCACTCGTTTTAAAATAAATCCAGTTAATGGATTTTACAATTCCGCCTGTATTTTCATAGAGCTCTGTATAGATTTGAAATACGCTAAAAGTGCATATTCAATACAATTAAGCACACTTTTTCACAAGAGAACCATTTAAAAATATCAGACATTTGACTTCTGTTTCTCTCTAACCCCTCAGATTTGGAAAGCATTCACATGATGAAATGTCCATCCTGGTCCCTTTGTCTCAGTGCTGCAGGTAAGATTGTTTTTCTCCACTTTCAGACATCTCTTGAATTGAGGCAATAGCCTCCCAACTGAGAGAGTGACTGCAGTGCAGTAATTCAGTATAGCACCAACACAACCACATCCTTCTGTCTGCTGTGCTCTGTTATTCTAGCTGTATCCTTTATTGCACATTTACATTTATTTCCTGTGGCTGATGTTATTCTTGCTAGAACAATCTACGTATATGAATGGTTGCAAAAAACACTGACTGTGTCCCAATTTGCATAATTCTGCAAGCTGGTCATAGTACACACCACTTTGTTGCTAACATTTTGAATGTGGCTAATTTTGCTATTCTAAGGGGCCATTCACACAAAAACACGTTTTGCATTCCACTGCACTACTTTTTCATTGTTTTTCTATGTAAACATTCGCTAGACATTTGCCCATTGCACTCGCGCCTTGTGTCTTTCGCAGAATCTCGCGAACAACACACTGTTCTAATAATGCTCATTTGGCACTCGTTTTAAAATAAATCCAGTTAATGGATTTTACAATTCCGCCTGTATTTTCATAGAGCTCTGTATACTAAACAGATCAGCTGATGCGGAGTTATACCTTCTACCGTTCTCTCTCTCAGAGTGAAGAGGTCGACGTACCTGCGGCTACAGCTGTTGGCTAAAGAGGAGTTCAAGCTGAGCTCTCTAATGGAGGAATCGCTACTGCAGGACCAGTTGGCACCTATACTCATCCGGCCCCACTTGGAGGCCATGGACCGCCGCCTGCGCCTGGTGCTCAAGGTGCTGGCCGACTGCGCGGAGAAAGAAGGCTTCTTATCAGTGGTGGAGAACGACCTGGAGGGACAGCCCTCCTCGCACCACCACCAGGTGCATAGAGGGAGGTAGTGTTCCCTCCAGTCAATTCCCCGCCATGAGCCCCACTGAGGCTTGTGCTCGAGTCACACTCTGAATTCAGTGAATTCCACACCACCAATGCCTCTGAGGAGCCACCCTATCATATGTGACGCAGCTGACAGCTATCAGAGGAACTCTGGGATGAAGGAGTTGTTTCTGGATGGCTTGTGTTTGAGCTGTGCTCGGAGCTGCAGTACAGGCTTTTCTGTTGCAACCTGGTTTGTTCGACAAGTCTGCTGATATAATTTATTACATTTGCATATTTCGAGTTGGGGAGTGTACAGAAGAGTTGGAACCAAAAGTTGGAACAGATTTGATTGTGGTTTTGGTACTCCGATCTATATATTCAAACACACAACTGTTATTTACTGTGCTCATGAAGGTCTTCGACATAAGGGCACGTAAACGAGCTTTAATAGTAATAGTACTACTGCGCGAGGATGCTTAAACACATCCTCCTTCCCTGTGCGTTCACAATTCAACATAATTTCCTACCAGTCATCGCCTTCAGTCATCGTGTCAGATCCGGCTCATTTGTTCTTTCACTTAGGGAAATTCAGAGGTGAAGTGTGCGCTTCATTTGAGGTTATTCAGCAGTGAAGCACGTGTTTAAATGTCTCCGCGGAGAACGAGAGAATCACGCTGATTGGTTCCTGTGCCCACAGTCAGTGTTTCCCATCTCAGGCCTCATGCTGAATACACCTGCTTTCTCTTAATGAGAACCTTAAGGATCGGCTGATGCTATGCTAGCGTAAGTTCATAATGATGTTAGTTGTACTTCACGCTGCAGGTTTCTCATGTCTCCGCTGGTGGAGTGATTTCAGTGCTTAATTATAGAGTAGGGCACAGGCTCGAGGGAATGAAACAAACCAATAGGATGTGTAGGGGAACTGACACCGTGTCCTAAGAGGAAACAACAAGCAAAGTTCTTTCATGTTAAAAAGAGTTTTTGTCCTAACCAGCTGACCAACGAGACCAGTCAGAAGTGGGATCTGATCTCTCATCCGTTTCACTGGTCAGTGTTCAGAACATGACATAGAAAACCAAATGCTCTTGTTAGCTTTGCAGGTGTTCCATGGTTACACGATGGCCACCAGTGTTCTGTGATTATTACCAGAGAGGATCAATCACCGTGTTTTACATCTCCCTGTGTGCCGCAATTTTTGTGTGATCATACACCCTAATCTACTGTACACAAATCTCCTTAAAGGGATAGTTCACCCAAAAATGATAATTCTGTCATTAATTACTCCCCCTCGTGTCGTTGCAAACCCGCAAGACCTTCGTTCATCTTCGGAACACAATTTAAGATATTTTTGATGAAATCCGAGAGCTTTCTGACCCTGCATAGACAGCAAGGTAACTACCACGTTAAAGGCCCAAAAAGGTATTAAGGACATGAGTAGGGCACAGGCTCGAGGGAATGAAACAAACCAATAGGATGTGTAGGGGAACTGACACCGTGTCCTAAGAGGAAACAACAAGCAAAGTTCTTTCATGTTAAAAAGAGTTTTTGTCCTAACCAGCTGACCAACGAGACCAGTCAGAAGTGGGATCTGATCTCTCATCCGTTTCACTGGTCAGTGTTCAGAACATGACATAGAAAACCAAATGCTCTTGTTAGCTTTGCAGGTGTTCCATGGTTACACGATGGCCACCAGTGTTCTGTGATTATTACCAGAGAGGATCAATCACCGTGTTTTACATCTCCCTGTGTGCCGCAATTTTTGTGTGATCATACACCCTAATCTACTGTACACAAATCTCCTTAAAGGGATAGTTCACCCAAAAATGATAATTCTGTCATTAATTACTCCCCCTCGTGTCGTTGCAAACCCGCAAGACCTTCGTTCATCTTCGGAACACAATTTAAGATATTTTTGATGAAATCCGAGAGCTTTCTGACCCTGCATAGACAGCAAGGTAACTACCACGTTAAAGGCCCAAAAAGGTATTAAGGACATTGTTAAAATAGTCCATGTGACATCAGTGGTTCAACCATAATTTTGAATAATGTCCCTAACTATGTTTCTGGGCTTTGAATGTAGTAATACCTTTGCTGTCAATGGAAGGTCAGAAAGCTCTCGGATTTCCTCAAAAATATCTTAATTTGTGTTCCGAAGATGAACGAAGGTCGTACGGGTTTGGAACGACACAACGGTGAGCAATTAATGATAGAATTTTCATTTTTGGGTGAACTAGCCCTTTAAGTTGGAAGTAGCATTCCATTGCACTTTTCCAAAATAAGATAAGAAATTTTAAGAAATAAGAAATTTTGACTTTCCGAGCTGAATAGAATGCATGTGTGTTCTGGGGCCGGATTCATGAAAATAATCGGAAGAAGTAATGTCATAATCAATTACTAATAAAAATGAGTTCCCTATTTGAGTACTTTTTGTGGAGTTGTTACTGAATTTGGAATTCAATAAAAAGTCATGCACACATAATCACGACCGAACATTGTTTATCGATCAGTGCTGTCTTATATGGATATTATAAGGTATTTCTTAATATTGCTTAATATTTGAAACAACCCAGTAAATTAGTTACACATCTTGCCTTTGTGGATTTAAGATCATATGGAGGTTATCCTAAATAGAGGGTTATTTACAATGGTTACTAAAATATTATTTTCATGAATTCAAATTCTTCAAGTTTTGCCTGTAGAAAAATATTTTTTAAAAAATGTGTTTTTGACTAAAACGTTCTTACTTTTTTCTTAGGTTACAAAATAAGAAGATAAACATTAGTCTTAAGAACCATTCATGAATCCAGCACTGATTAGCAAATTACTTGTGGTTAGGACACGGTGTAATGGTGATTGATTTTTTTTATAATATGACATTATTTCCTTCCCACTGTTTTGTTCAGTTTTTCGGCGTTAGTCACATATACTGACCTTTCAACAAAAGTCATTAAACAAGTTTTAAGCTTCTTTTGTATTGTGTAAACTATGGCCAAAAAGGCAATAGAGTGCCTTTAATCTTTCTAGCAGTGGTGGTTGCCACTTCCAGTCTCGTTCATTCACTCATATTCATGCCATCACACTTTAAAGAAGTTTTAGTTTGTTGCTAAATGAACCTTTATGAAGTAGACAGCAATGTGAGCTTTTAACATACAACACATGACTATTTTTTAAGAGTGAGTTCATTTGTGAGGAAATCTTATTGGGGTTTTAGGTCTTTTTGGGAGGCTTTAAATGAAGTCCCTGTTCCTCACAGACATTGTAAAGATGATTTGATGATGGTCTGGCTGCTCTGTGTAAAGTGTGGGGCCACATGTGTGTTTTGTGTTTAACCCCAGTGCCTGTGCAATGCTCAAGAAACTTGAATGTTTTGGGATTATTCACAAACTGACTTTTTAGGTGTTAAACTATGTAAGACTCAAAGGTGTGTTTTTTTATTGGCAGTAAGTAATTATGTGATGCTCAAGGCTTCTATTTGCCAAACGGACTCAAAAATGTTCCCAGTACTCTCAGTGTTTCTGTGCATATCTGTAAATATGATATATTGATCCAAGAAGCTGATTTTGGAGCAAAAAAAATCGCTTCAGTTTTCTTTTCCTCTCTTAGGCATCGTTGCTGTGAAGATCTGTTTGCAAAATGATAAAAGTGTGCAATAAATGAAGCTATGTTGTTGAAATCTTTTATGTGCAAAGAGCAAAGTAAATAGAGATTGTGAAGGATCTAAAAATTTTAATGAATGTTCCAGATTCAAGTTAAGCCTCGGTCACATTGGACGCCGCAATGGTCGTGGTAATTTGAACAAGTGTATTATTAAATATGAATTACTTAATACAGTACTAAATTGCAACTTCAGCATTATAAATGTGTAAATGCATATATATTTAAACACATAACAGTTTACTATAAATACTTCTCAGTACGTTCAGCAGGATACTTATAACTTATATACAAATAAAGATGTATTAAGTCATATTTAAGTGGGTCAGGCACCACTCTAAAGTTCAACTAACTGCATTTAATATCAATTTAAACTATAATACATTTTCATTTAATTGCAAATAACACACAGTTAAATGTACAAAAACTTTACACTCAGTTTAGTATATTATTTCAGTCTAATATCAATTTAAACTATAATACATTTTCATTTAATTGCAAATAACACAAATGTACAAAAACGTTACACTCAGTTTAGTATATTATTTCAGTAACAAGTACTCTTTTTAGAAATATGCTGAAGTGTACTTCTATTTCACAAGCGGTTACAGATGTAACTACATATTATGTTCAGACTTTTCTCTGTTTGAACAGTCGCTTTCTGATATCCTTGTGCGTATAAAGTTACCAGATCGACCAGTTTCATAACAGGAGTTATTCAATATTAGATCAAAACTAATGCCAGTAAGTGATTTTTGTCTGGTCTCGTGCATGATTATGTTTTTACAAACTGAGGGGCCTAGCATTGACCTCATTGTCTGTGGTACTAGAGCTCAACCCGTATTAAGCCTGTAACATTCCATACAATACATCTCAAATGAAGTCTGTGAAGAAAATATTGTGGCTGCATTTGAATATCTTAAACTCACAACTGCTGGACTATCTGTGAAATGAGATTTATCAGCTCTGTGCTTATTCAGACACTCTGCCAGGTCACATACAGACATATATTTAGAGACGATACATACGTAATACCCCTCTAATCCATAAATCCTCTATCTCTCACACCCATATCCTGCTATATTCACTTCTATTATGTTATAATCATTAACATGCTGAGGCAGTTACAGGACACGCAGGAATGTCACCGTGACCTTAAAGTAGAAACCTTTCTGTTGGCACCATGAAGATGAAGTTCTAGTCTGTTGGTGTCACCATTGATAAACAGCAATGTTTAAAATATTACATTTTACAATTGTGACCCTGGAGCACAAAACCAGTCATAAGTGTCAAAATTGAGATGTATGAATCATCTGAAAGCTGAATAAATAAGCTTTCCATTGATGTATGGTTTGTTAGGATCGGACAATATTTGAAAATCTGGAATCTGAGGGTGCAAAAAAATCTAAATATTGAGAAAATCATCTTTAAAGTTGTTCAAATGAAGTTCTTAGCAATGCATATTACTAATCAAACATTAAGTTTTGATATATTTACGGTAGGACATTTACAAAATATCTTCATGGAACATGATCTTTATTTAATATCCTAATGATTTTTGGCATAAAAGAAAAATCTATAATTTTGACTCATACAATGTATGTTTGGCTATTTCTACAAATATACCCCAGCGACTCAACACTGCTTTTGTGCTCCAGGGTCACTTATGTCAAAAAAAAAACAAAAAAAACCCTGAAACATCTGAAGTACACTCAAAAAAATAAAAATATTTTTTAAATAAAATAAAAATCATTTTTAAGTTGTTTGACCCATTTGAAGTGCATAGTTTTAAGATAAACTAATAAACTTACTGTTATGCATATTTGTCAGTCATATACTGTAGATGAAATAGGTACACAGGTAAGAAACAGGTAATATTTTTGTATAAAAAAATTATAATAATTAAAAAAAAGATTAAAAAATAAAAACACATTTTCAAAATGCATTCAAATTGCTTCGAATCGACATAAATCTTTTTCAAACATTCAGTCTATTTGGAGCATTGCATAAATCTTTCAAGTATGATTGACAAATATGCACCACATTAAGTTTATTAGTGTGTCATTGTTTAAACTGACTTAAACTTACATTTTATATCCAGTACAAATACATAAATCTTAAATTTAGGCCTAAATATTTTTAGTGCATCAGAGGCAGCAGGACATGCAATTTATTACTTGACCACTGGATGGCGGTGCAACGTTTTACAAAAAAGAAATTTAATAATAATAAATATGCTGTATTATCATAGCACAGCCAAATACTATGGGATGCCGCCTTCTCACTGCTTTCAAAGCACCTGCAGATACTGTTGTTTCGGCTTAGTTTTTCCTTCACAAAGCCAAATCATCCTGAGGCTTACATGTGAGGAGTACAGTAGGAGGTGTTTCATGTCCTGAAATGGACCCCTGTGCGCCCCGCCGAACGGATTAGACGGCAAGATGACGGAAGGGCCAACTGCTGTCTCCAAGCAACAGCTTGTGGCGCACTGTGAGGCAATGCCTCACCTGTGAACAAAACTGAGATGTTGATGTCGTATTCATCCCCAATTGCTAAACAGCAGGTTGCATTTCAAAAGGGAAAAAGCCTTTTTCGCCTTTCCTGAAATTAAAAAGCGCCACCTGCAATATCCAAACTCTGAAAG